ACTGATCCCTTGGAGTGCAGGGGTCCTTCTTTACTTTCCCAGTAAAAGGCATTTACTCCTCTATCTTTAGCTAGTAATATATACCTATTACATTAGTTACCCTCTGATATCTTGCCTTTTCTCCACTAAGCCAGTAAGCATGGTTCTCCTGATCCCCTCTTTAACCTCACAACACCTGTGAGGCAAGCCATGCTGAGAGAGCGGCTGGCCCAGGGTCACCCAACCAGGTTTGCGGCTCATGAATGACTCGATGTTCTGAGATTCTGGGCACTACAAGAAAAGGTTAACATACAGTAATGATTTCGTTCTCTTCCTTCTGCCCAAGCCTTTCTGTGGAGAAAGAGCAAAGATGTCTTGATGCTCCATGTTAAACCTTGTATCAGTTTGGAAAGAGGCCATTCTTCAAACTGGAAAACTGTATGAGATCAATTCAAGTGGAAAAATATTCTGCCTAGGGCAGGCTGAACCAGTACGTTGTGATATTACAGATTACACTTTAGGATGCCTTTGAGTTAGTGTTGCATGTCACAATTTATTGTTGATGGATTTAGAGGTTGTGCGTTGGATTGTAATTGGGCAGGAAAGGGGTAGGCCTGGAAGAAAGTTTGATCCCTTGTTCCTCTGCTACCATGATGCCAAAATTCTTCCTCCAAGGCAAGGTCTGTTGTTGCAAAGAGCAGTTATAGGGGCAGCTTTTGTTACAATTGGGGCAAAGTGGGGAGAGGGTTCATTGCATTTCCGCTTACCACCTTCCTCCTGATTATTTTGGAACTGAAAACGAGTGACATTAAGAATAATACAATACTCAGCAGAATCCTACTGATTTGTTGTGCTTGCATAAATGCAGTAGTAAATTGCAAGTAGTTAGCAAGTTACTGCTTGCATTCCTCATTAATGCCAGTCATGCTGTACGGTGTGAAACAAGGAATATAAGTGGCTGCTGGTTAGCTAGCAGCAGTTTGCCAATGTGATTTATTCAATTGCACGTATTCTGGGCAGTGCATTTAAATGGGAATTATATCGGGGCAAGTAAAAACATGCTGAACTCATAGGCAGAGGTGTAATTTACTGTTTTGTCCTTAAGAGGAAGACCAAATTGGGAGACAGATTAGTATTGATGTGTGTGAGAGAGATGTGGAAAAAGTTATGTGTGGCTATATGCGCCATGGCTTACATGCTTGTTGTCACGTACTCATGTATTGTACCATGTTTGTTGCTGGGCAGAATATACACAACACCATTTTAGTTATGTAACCTACAGTTATGTTATGTAACCTACAACATAATAAAAGGAGGTGCCAGGCATCGCTGGGTAAAGTGGACAGAGTGAACAGTGATGAGTGTTCCTATACTTCAGCCGATGACCCTGAGCACGCTTTGAACCTGATTACTAGACTGCAGTCTCATCCTTTTCAGAGATCTCTCCCTCCGGACCCTTTCAGGGATCTCTCCTTTCACCACAGATTGCCGGAATAGGATTCCGACAGTTATTTATTGCGTTGTGATATCCAATGTGGTATAGTGGATGATCTGATGGACCAGGGTTCAGGAAGCCTGGGTTTGAATTCATGCTTGGTCATGGAAATTCACTTCAACTTCATTGGCTACCGGTTCGTTTCTGCATCGACTTAAAGGTTATGATGATAACATTCAAGGACCTTGGTATCTAGCAGAACGCCTGCTTCCAGCCAGATCTGTCCGTAATATCTGTTCTTCACAGGCAGGACGGTTGAGGGCCTTGACCCCGAAGGAGGCCCAGAGGGTAAGAACAAGGAGCCGGGCCTTCTCAGTGGTTGCCCCCTGCCTATGGAACAATCTGCCCATGGAGATACGCCTGACACCCTCGTTGTATGGGTTTAAACGAGCATTGAAAACTTGGCTCTTCCGTCAGGCTTTCCCTGAGCATTAAGTTGCTGATATCTCTGCTTCCCTTTTATCATCCTTTTTTGCCATCCTTTCATCATCCTTTCTACCATCTTTATAGCCATCTGTTTTAATTTATCCTGCTAGTTATTGTATCTGTTGAATGTTTATATTATTTTATTCTTACTGTGTTTTAATATTGTGTTTGTCTTGTTAGCCATCCAGAGTGGCTCGGCTGCCAGGTGGTGCGGGATATAAATTATTTACTTAACTTATATGCCGCCCGCTCTACCCAAAGGTCTCTGGGCAGCTTACAACAATAAAAATACAATAAAAAAGATAAAACAATTAAAATACAATTAAAATATATACTCTAAAAATTGCCATCAGGACCCACAGTTAATATTATTTCAATTAAAAGCCTTCTGGAACAGGAAGATTTTTGACCTGGTGCTGAAATGTCATCAGCGTCGGCGCCAGATGAATCTCAATAAATAAACTGAGAGGGGCAGAACTGGTAAAACCACTCCTTACATAACTCACTTACCTTGAAAGCCCTATTAGAGTCATTCTAACTTGATTCCAACTTGATGGCACGTAACATTGTTCTGTGTGCATTTGTCAGAAAAGCTTTTGTCTTCTTAAATGTTGGTTTGAACATATCTAGGATGTGATTGTGCTCTTCTGTGTATCTTTACCCAGATGTAAGCTTTACTGAGTTTGGTGAGATTTACTTCCAGATAAGTGTGTATAATAGGAAGGGCCACCTGAGCATCCCTCTTATTCTGAGAAAGCCTGCTATAAAAGCAAAGAAATCAGTGTTAAGTAAATGAGTTTGATCACTGGCCTGTTATTGTCTTTGCAGGTATCGGTAGACAAAGTGCTGAAGACATTGAAGGAAAATGCTAATAAAGCAACAAGTTTACTACTTACTACAATTCCTCAGATTGGGTCCATGGACTGGACAGAGACCATGCAGAACCTCAAAGTAATGTTACATTTTTTGCTTTCTTTCTTTGTCATATTGGTGTCCTGGTGCTTCAGCAGGTATTTCTTACTGTAGATAAAATATTTGCAAACAAGATAGAATCATTCAGGGCAGCAACATTTAAAGAACAGCAAAAGTAATTTTCTGTGCAGCAGCAAATAAAAATATCTGTCTAAAGTTCAGAACCTGAAAGCAGCACAATTCATAGGAGCAATGGAAAAATAGAATTTTGACTGAAAATATCTGGGCTGTTTTTTTTACAGCTACAAGAAGGTCATGAATAGACACCCTATGTACAGACCACCAAGGAGGGACATGCCACAGATCTACCACAGAGAAGTCCTGGTTTTTCTATAGCAGTACCTATAGGAAAGGGAGCAGATAGCCCTTAAGGGTACTTTGGACTATGGTGGCTTACAGGGGAAGGGAACAGGGCTCCTGTACCTTTAGTAGAGGTGTGGAAGATCGAATGTATAGGAGCCCTGTTCTTTTCTCACGGGACCACTTTGCCCCTGGATATATGCTTTAGACATTTATGCTTTAGATATTTAATGTTGGCAGCATGATTTGCCCCAGTAATGTGTGGGAGGCCAGTGAAATCATGCTGAAATTCATACAGAATGTTCCAGACCTCTGCAAAATAATCCACCTGTTTATATGTGTAGATATTCTTCTGTGTAGCTGAATTCATCACAACTGTATATAGAATAGTATAAAGCCTACAGAAAGTGAAGGAACCTAGTAGAGCATGCTTTTTCTGAACATCTCCACAGGTAGCTTGTGCGGAAATCTTAAATTGCTCATTCTCTGCAAAAATACAATTAGGGTAGAAAGTATGATTGCTGTAGCTTCCCTTGCATTCATTTTGAACTTGCAAAAAATCTGGTGAATTCAATCCCAGGTCCAGGCTTTTTATATGAAGTAAAAAACAGCTCCAGTGGACATGTTTCTAATGTATTTCATTGTTTTATTTGGCATTTTCTGGTTTATAACAAAGCTTTCTCTCCCTGTGTGTGTGTGTGTACACACTTGTGCACCAGTTTTGTTTTCACATACACACAAACACACATTCAGACAGTTATGACTTTTTACTAACTAAGAATCATGTTGGAAAATTAATGTGTAACCCGAACAGTTGTAAACAGGTAAACGAGAACTGGAACAAAATTTGTTTTAACAAATCTGTAGCATTTTTACTTTACAGGAACTTTTTTTTTTTGGCCGTATATCGGGCCCCAAAATAGTCCATACCATTCTTTGGTGATGTGTATTTGTAAAGTTTGTTTCTTGTAACAGTTAAAAGCCTTAGGAGAATTGCTTACAGAGTGTGTTTTGTTTTCTGTGTACTGGATTTTGTGTTTCAGAATTCTGTGCAGTTGTCTGTTATTCTGCCGAAACATTAAAAGCATGAGAAGACATTCAAGACACATGAGACATATCTTCTGAGAACTCGACAACACCCTGAAAAATACGGTTATACATGTCACATCATTCATTCTTGTCATGCTTCTTGTTTGGGCATAAAATCTTGCCAAGATGAAGGACCAGACCATCCCCACGAGGCTAGGAGCCAATTCATTATGAGACATGACCTTCTGGAGAATAGGAGTTTAATAGTATATACTTAGCAATCATACTTTAGAGACCAGAGGTTTAAAAATATGGTATCAAGGGCTAAGCTTCAGATTCACCTTATGAGCTCATCACTCATCTTGAAGAAGCAAAGGCAAGGTTATTATACAGAATCATAGAGTAATGGAATTGGAAGAGGCCTATAAGGCCATTGAGCCCAATCCCTTGCTCAATGCAGGAATCCAATTCAAAGCAGATCTGACAAGTGGTTGTCCAGTTTTCTCTTGATTGCCTCTAGTTTTTTTTCCTAAAAAAAAGAAAAAAGAATGCCTCTAGTGCTGGAGCGCTCACCACCTCCCAAGGTCATTGACTCCGCTGTCGTACTGCTGTAACAGTTAAGACCTAATTTTTTTTCTAATACTCAGCCTAAATCTGTCTTCCCATAGCTTGAGGCCATTGTTACATGGCCTGCACTCTGGGATGAAAACACATCCTGCCCCTCCTTTGCATCAGTTTCTTCGTATATGTGCTCTTAACTGCTGCACATGGAAGGAACCTCAGGAAGCCAAAATCAAGAGATATGTAGTTTATAGGACTTCTTTCAATTTCACTCTTTTTTCCTAAAAATGTAATGGTTTATAATAGAGTTTGGCTGAATAATGTTTTGGTAATGAATATTATCATCATTTGTACCTTTACTTACATAAAAATATATTCAGTTTTTCTTTTCTTTTCAGAAGAACAGTTGCCTTCTGGACAGGGATTTTGATATTTGTTTACATTTAGAATGCCTTTCTGGTTAAAACTAGCAAAGCCCTGACAGTATGTGGTTTTGTATTTTTAGCCAAAATGGTTTTGGCTTTTTTTCCAGTGGGGAGATGAGGTTAGTTTGAAGGTCTTCCTTCTCTTGCTCTGATTATGTCATTCCTTTTTTCTTATGTGCCTTTGTCCCAGTGTTCTGGACTTCATGAGTTAAATTTTTGTCCATTTTGTATTTAAATTTTTTTATACTGGTATTTGTTTAATGAATTTTCCAATTAAGTAACATTATGTGTACCTTCTAAAAATGTTCCAGGTTTCTTTCTGGAAGAAAAGCAGGATATTGGTTCTTACAATAAAGAATAGATGAATATATTTGAAAAATATCTTGGGCACAATCATGTCCTTCCCTCCCACAGGTCCTGAGAGTAGACTGTGGAGGAACTCCATGAAGAACTCAAGAATAGGTATCTTCTGGTTATTGTGGGTTTTTCAGGTTCTTTGGCCGTGTTCTGAAGGTTGTTCTTCCTGGTGTTTCGCCAGTCTCATGCCATGGACAGAGTTCCTACTCCAGTCCTCTGAAGATGTCAGCTACAGAGACTGGTGAAACATCAGGAAGAACAACCTTCAGAACACAGCCAAACAGCCCAAAAAACCCACAACAACCATCAGATCCCAGCTGTGAAAGCCTTCAAGAATAGCTATCTTCCACCAGCAGTTTGTTGCCTCTTGAGGGTGCTGCATTCCTCCACATATGCTGCAAGGCCCAAGTGTCCCCTTCCATATACCTGTCCTTTCTTGCTCTAGAGGAAAGACTGGGGAACCTTTGGTTCTCCAGATGCCCTGGACTGCTTTTTCCACAACCCTTCGCAACTGGCAAGGCTGTTGTCTCAGTAGGGAGTTGTCCACAGGGCCTAATGTCCCCTTCCCATGGGCTTAACACCAGTTCAGCAGCCATCTTCTGCTCAGGTCCCAACAGTAAGTTCCTCCTGGCAAGAACAAATGTGCCCAAAGACAGAAGTGGTGGCTCTTTTTACATCCTTCATTGCAAGCCACCAGAGGAGGGTTCTCTTCAAAGTGAGCACTAACGCTGTGTTGGTCCTGCTTTCACAGAAATTGCAAGAAGGAGTTGTGCTTCTTGCTGCTGAGATGCCATTTATAGAGGGAAGAAGTTATTCCTGCCCTCTGAGGAAACCGTTTCTGTTGCAGTGACACCATGATTGGAATCCAGGCTGGCCCCATGACCTGCTGCTTCCTGAGGCAAAAAACTGGGATCCTCCTGCCCCTGGTCTCCATGTGCAGAAGACAGTATCTTCGTGTTGTTTCACAGGCAGTGTGATAACATCACCCACAGGCTTGAGAGTGGCCAGTTAGCTTGAGGAAGGGGGACACGGAAGAGGCTGGTTGAAGAGTTAGGGAATACTGAGCGAGGTCTACTGCTGTCACCTCTCTGGCATCTGCTGCCAGAGGCATCTGCCTCACTTTACCTAATGGTAGAGCCAGCTCTGTTTAGAAAGCTGTAGTTTTGTGGTAACAGAATTCTGAGTATTATCTTCAGCATCATGGAAGCCTCATTCTGACTTCCTGTATTTTGAAGCACCATGCATGTGGGGGCGGGGGTTGATGATGATCAACTGATTTGTTTGAAGATCATTATTCTGATTCCTTTTGAATTTTACTGATGAATGTATACATTGATCACACAGATACGTTCTTAAAGTTTATTTTTCGACTGCCTATATTTGGTGTTCACATTTGCCTTTAAGAAAAGAACCTGCTGCTGCTTGTAACAAATAAAACCAAATGTAACCTCCCCTCTATGTGTCATGCTTTTTAAACATAACACATATATAGGCTTACTATTTAGGTTATTCTGGATGAGAGGTTATTATTTTGTTGAAATGTAAACTGAGTTATTTTACATATTCTGCTGCTTGGAGATCAGATTAAAATGAAAGCAGTACCTGGCCACCACCCACCTGTGAAAAAAGGACACAAAGGTTGCTTTCTGTATCTGGATATTTCTGTTATATAAAATATATAATAGTGTATATTACACACACATATAAAACATTTTCAGTACAGTTGGGTGGTAAGCACTGTTCTTCCTTTTACAGACTGAAATTCCAAGTGGTGGCTGTTGTCACTAATACAGTTTGTGGTTGATGACAGGTTACCTCTGTGACAGGTAGAAACTGACTTATTTTCCCTGACAGTTTTTTGCTTTTGTTATGGTTCTTACTTCATGCAGTTTTACTTCTCAGTCTTGTTTCCTTCTGAAATTTTGAAGTCCTGTTTTACATATCTGGATAATGTAGAATGGCAATTTGGTTAGTGAGGCCTGTAGTTTTTCTAGCATTATCCCCTTGGGTGGGACCAGCTTTTGAAGGAACATGTCTGCTTCAGGAAGATGCTGCATGGGGTTTGTGGGGACAATTGCACACTACCTTATGAGGACAGATTTATGAGTATTACCATGCAGTATGCAAGACATATATTTTTAAGAGACAAGTTTAAATGGGTATTTCCTCTCATTTATGAATGAGTGTGACTTCCTTGGTACTCTGGATGAGAAATTACAGTGGTACCTCACAAGACGACAACCCCGCTGAATGGCGAATCTTCATTATGATTACCTTGTGATCACTATAGCGATTCGCAAAACAGTCATTCCAATGGGGGATTTTCGCTGAATGTCAATTAGGTCTGCGCTTTGCAAACTGTTTGTTTGCAAGACGATTTTCTGGGCTCCGCAAAGTGGCTGCCCTGTGTTTTCCAGACCCATGCTTCACAGGGCAGCCATTTTTACAGCTGATCGGCGCTCGCAAAATGGGCGATCTTCGCAGGACGATGAGGTATTTTCCCCATTGGAATGCAGTAAATGGGTTTCAATGCATTCCAATGGGGAAACTGATTTTGCATGACGATTTCGCTAAACAGCTATTTTTCCGGAACGGATTATCGTCGTCATGCGGGGCACCACTGTATTTACCATTTTATTGAAATATAAATTGTATTCTTTTAAATTTTCTACCATTCAGAAGTTAGCTTAAAATTAAGGAAGTGTCTGACCCTTAACCATCCAAATAAAGGAGACAAATGTTAAGTTCTCTGAATTTCCTTGCTTGTGAAGGTGTAGCTTCAACCATAACTTACGGTAATGCTTTGAGATACAGTTGTCAGTTACAGTGTGTTTTAACCCAGACCCAGAAAACAGTCTTCCATTCAGATTTATCAAGGAGCTGTTCCCACTTCAATATTATTCCCATGTTTGGCTGTTGGTAGAATTCACGCTTTTAAAAAATGGCCAATGTAATTCAGAAGATTAGTTCTACAAGAATTTCTCTTTTAATGAAACAAGTATATGCCCTCCCCCACTTGAGTTCAGAAAACAGTTTAGGGTTCTGGAATAATTCCAAATGTCCAGAGCCGTTTGTGCTCAACCCAATTCAAGTTGTGCTTGGAGCCAAACAGATTCTTCTTCGTGGCCTCTGTGAATGCACACATACGGGTATTGTCTGCGGCTGTGCTGACGTTCTCGGAAGATTCTAGAGTTGAAAGTAACAATTTAGTGGTGTGATTCCCCCATGCTCCGCCCACCCTCCCTTCCTCTCAGTTCCTCTTTTCGGCCAAGCTGTTCAGTTCTCTTAGGAAGATCGGAGCACTTCTAACCTTTTCTACTGGCTTTCTAGTAGATCTTCTCTAGCCTTATGCTAACTAAAGCAAAAGTCCTTTTAAGGACTATCCTTTGTTTTATTATATTTTTAAAAAATATATTTTAATTAAAATTGTAGAGGCAATGTAGCTGTATCACATACAGTATTCCCATGTGATGGGTATTTTAAAATAATAGCTGCATAAGATAATATTTCAGGAGCAAAAAACAAATTATGGTACCGGTTGTAACGAGTTGTGGAAGTTCCAGACTGGTAAAGAATTCTGATCAAGTTCTGCTAACATGATCTTAATTGGCAGAACAATGTCAACCATTATCACCTATAACTGTCTGCATATACCTAGTCATCTGTTTCTCTTTAAACACTGATGATACAGTGCAGATTAGAAGATAAAGCATAGATCACAGAGGGCTTGTCCAGACCGGCCGTTTTACAGTAGGTACATGGTGGATCGGGCTACATGACTGGGGGGAGGTTTGTTGTTTAGTCATGTCCGACTCTTCATGACCCCATAGACCAGAGCATGCCAGGCGCTCCTGTCTTCCACTACCTCCCGGAGCTGGGTCAAATTCATGCTGGTAGCTTCGGTGACACTGTCCAACCATCTCGTCCTCGGTCGTCACCTTCTCCTCTTGCCGTCACACTTTCCTAACATCAGTGTCTTTTCCAGGGAGTCTTCTCATGAGATGGCCAAAGGATTGGAACCTCAGCTTCAGGGTCTGTCCTTCCAGTGAGCACTCAGGGTTGATTTCCTTCAGAATGGATAGGTTTGTTCTCCTTGCAGTCCAGGGGACTCTCAAGAGCCTC